TGTTCTACCCACACTTTCCCTGCTCTGCTCGTGTTGTTCTCTGCATTGGACAGTCCCTATCTCACCACCGCCACCACACACTTCCTGTTCTTGAACTAACTTCTTTCTCTGCACCTGCTTACGAGAAATCACAACTATTGATAGACTGATAAAAAGTCACTGTTTTTGTTGGACTGTGGGGAAGAGCAGAGATAAGAGCAGGGCCACCTGGGAATGGAACTTCAAACTTCAAAAAGTGACAAGAACAAATCATTTTTGAGTGGGGCAGACTTTACAGAAGCGTTTGTAGTCATTTTCCTATCACGTCAAATTTTCCATTCATGTCAGTTCAGTTGGGTGGGAGGAGCGGTGACGCCTGATAAGCTTTGGCCCCTGTTTTGTTGTGGAAGCTGGGTTTTCCTCGCAGAGACAGGAGGGTCAGTGATGATCCAGTACATTTATGGGCATTTAGGAATCATGATGAACTTGGTCACATCTCTCCTTATGGCTCTCATGTGTTTGTTTTTATAGTATTGTCTGTGGTCTGTTGTCTATCTGATGAAATGAAAACTTCGTAAAGTCCTCAGAGATTTGGGTCTATACAGAAATGAATGAATTTAGTGAATACTTCCGTGCCATATCTGCGTATCTGTGTCCAATCAGGAAGTAATCGTTGTGTATAGAAAATGAGATGCCACTACCGATACCGAGGAGAAACCCATTGATTATACTCATTCCTAATTGATTAGGGTTTTAACCTTTTCCCCTTCCTAAATTAGATATAATCCATATTATTAGACGTCGTAAGTATAATACATATTTAAAACATGTGAATAGTTTCTTCAGGAAATAACTTTTTATAAATATAATAGTAATAGTAATTATATAAGATTGGAACTTCAAATTATATTATTACCATTACTATTATATTTATGTGTTTACTATTATATTCATGCTTTAAGTCCTTATCTCATTCAACAACATATTTTTTTTTAACCCTTGTACAATTCCCAAGTCAAATTTACCTGCCACAGTGACGAAAAAATACACTTTTTTTCCCAACTCAAACAGCCCTGGGTCATTTATACCCTTTTACACACTACTTTAGGGCTTGACGATGACGTTCCCATCTTAACAGGCAGAACCAATGGGGAAAAGACAATTCAAACATTCAGGAAGTGCTCTAAAAATATGTTGTTACAGCCCAGGAATTGACAAGAACTGGAGGCTTTTTGCCAAGAAGAATGGGCATCAGAGCGGATGCAGAACCACAACTACCACAAACGACTCCAAACGGTCATAGATGTTAGAGGGCAACACACACTACTGAGAACTGGGGGATGGAGACTTATGAACAAGGGTTGGTGACACACTAGAATATACAGTAATTCATTCTTGTTTCTTTATTATGCTAAAGTCATACATTTTTCACTTAATTCTTGCTTCTTTTAAATGCTAAAGTTATGGATTTTATGTTTATTTTAGTAAAGAGTTATTGTTCACTTATCTTGTGCTGCGTACTGCTCATTCCTACTGCTCTATAACTGGTGATACAACACTGACATTTCCCCACTGTAGGTCGGATAAATGATCTCTTAATCTTATGAGGACTGGGGTCGGAAACTTCTGATCAGGGTCAGAAGAAGAGTTCTTGTTGTCATTCTCATTTGAAAATCAAAATCAAAAACATTCTTCATTCATTCTCTAAATACCCTGAAATACAGAGAAAGTGTGAACCTTGGAGCTGTGTCCCGTCATCCTACCTGCTGGTCCTGTGAGCCCTCCTGCTTGGTCTCTCGGTCTCCTTGCCTCCACCTTGTCCGCGGTCCTGCTCTGCTCAGTCCGTCTCTGCTCTGAGGCGCCTGAAGCATGATACTGGTGACGTAGAGGAACTTTTGGAAAGCCTCTGTAAAGGTTGCGGTGCTCTTACTTCCTCCAAATATACGTGTGCTGCTTTCACTTCTGCATTACACCGATCACAAATGCACCAGACTGTTCTTGCAGCTTTTTTGATATTCTTATAGTCAGAAAGTGAAATGTGTCTTTTCAAATGAAAGCAGAGATGGTTGGTTTGATGGTGAAGAAAGACGCAAAAGGAGGAAATGAAACATTCAGAAATAACTTTGTATCTGTATCAGGGGTGTCCAAACATTGGCCCACTTTCGGTGATTGGTGTAGGGGCTGACAACCCAGTGTGGCTGAAGTTGGCTGAATGATAAATGTTTAGCATTTCACAATAGCTCTGCAGAACAATTTGTGCAACCCAATCTAGAACAAATGTCATTATATACAGAAAAAGTCACGTAAGGCTCAAGTCTATATGCTGGAATAAAATAGAACTTCTGCTACAGACACTTCCCCCCGCCCCTTCTGTCGATGACTCCTTCGTCAAACATGACAGTGCGTCATGTTTTACAAAAAGATGAATCCACAATCATTTTCATCAATCTATTTTCTGCAGATTTAGACAAAAGTATAGCCTCAATAATATTGTCATCCATAAAAGCCAAGACCATATAAGGCACCAAGGGCACTCAATTTTAATTCCATTCCATTTGTTTTAGCGTCGTCCCGGAAGACTGTGCAAAAGTGACAGTTTTCTGACAACAGTTCACAGAATCAATCACAGGAAATGCAATAATAACACACAGGAGCCGATGGGTTATAGGTGTCATTGATTCCTGTGTTTTTTGCCCTGCTCCCTCCTCCCTTTCTGTTTCAGCAGCATTCACACCTGCATCTCTCTGCCCTTGATACAGACTGCACTTCTCTGCTAAATTATCAGTCAGGGAACATGGGCAGCGTGTGAGTTTTATTTTTAATTTTAACTTATTATTGTTGTTTGTCCAGTGTTTAGGTCAATTCAACTCAATTTATTCTTGTATAGCCCTAAACCACAAGTAGTTATCTCAGACCTCAACACAGATCAGAGAATCAACAAAGAATATAGAACACACGGGTATTGGTCCATAGAGAGAGACCAATGTTTATGAATGTTGATAAATGTTGTAGAATGTTTAAAGTGTCCTGGATCATCATCACAGTCCTTTTTGTTAGACACTAACTGTCCAACAGACCCTGCTGCATCTGCAAGGAAAAACTCTAAAACCTAGTGGGAAAAAAGTGAGAAACCTTGAGGAGATCCACATTGAGAAAGGGATCCACTCCACACGGACGGACGGGCAATAGATCCAGTACCTAAACTACAGAACATGGACCAATGCCACGCAGCGGCCGCAGAACGTGGACAGGTCCGGTGCAGGACTGAAGCACTCCCAGGCGGGTCAGGCAGGGCAGTCCGCAGGTGTAGATGAAGGAGACCAGGTCCAAAGGTCCCGTCGTCGTACCATGAATAAGACAATGGGACAACGGTCTAAACTTCCAGCAAGCTCCATGTCTCCACTACTTTCCTGCATTTTGTTTAAAAAAAAAAAATACATACAATATTTTTTCTATGGTGAATCCAACCACTTCTCGGTCTTAACATCTCAAGGTACACGAACATGCCACGATCCAGTGGTTGAAAAACACTGTAGGGGTGTCTCTCTTTCAGTAATCTCATGCTACAATTTGTTAGTTTGTTTCTATTTCCCGTGCAGATGAAAGATGCCAATACAAGAGTCTTACAGACTTGTAATAAAGTAAACATGTAAACATAATAGATCTTATCATAGATTTCCAGACAAATGTAAGTTTGTGTCATTTTTCTTTTGAAGACTGTAAATTACATTGTACTAAAACAGCCATTCCCAAACTCAGTAACACCGAGGCCCTCTTAAAAATCTGACGGGTCTGCGTGGCCCCCCAAAATAATAACCAAGAAGACAACATTAAGAATAGGCTCTTCTGGTTATTTTATTTTGGGGAAATAGCCTCTGCTACAAACATTGTAATACAAAAATTATTACAGTGGATTATTCAAGTCAAATAATGAACACAAATATTTTAATATTACAAACAAAACATTATAAATTTAACATTAAATAATTATATATATATATATATTTTTTTAATGACCTCCCGCGGCCCCCCTGCAGTACCCTCGCGGCCCACCAGGGGGCCGCGGACCCCACTTTGGGAGACACTGTACTAAAACATCCAGTAATTACGTGTTCCAGGTGGCTACAAGGAACAACCTATCGCCCTCTTCTGGTACTTTGTGTCACTACATACAGGTGCTCAAAGGAAAAATCCGCTTCATTTAAATTGAGGTCAAGAAAAATCTGTTTTTCCCCCAGAGTTTTATTCTTGTTATATTTGCAATGGTTAAAAATCAAACACTACATTTCACAAATTTTTCTTAAAAGCCTCTAGAGCTGTTATAATTTATACTAAGGCCTCTAACCCTGTTTTGACGTAAACAGGTGTAATATCCTTCCCCAGTGTGTCTCATTCTTGCTGCAGCTACAATATTATTCAGTTATGGTCATTTTGTCCATCGATCTTGAGACAGTTGTTGTATTTCATGTGTATAGACTAGTTTAATAGTAAAGCAAAAATAATTCTAAAGCGCAATACCTAATACTTACCAAAAATAAAAGTCATAAAAGTGTAGTATTAGAATCTGTGCTTTTAAATAAACACCAAACATGGTGCAACCTAAATGGAAACAGCTGCTGTGATGATGTCATTTAGGAATTCCCAAAACAGATTTAGATGCAAAACAATGACATTGCTTTGACTTGAGATTTTTATCATCGTGCAACAAGTAGAAAAACAGCTTTCAGACAGAAGGGGTGGGGGTAAATTCCTAAAGTTGGCATGGACAAAGATTAAAGAATGCAGGCATGAAGATTTTTTTTGCAGAATATGTATCCTTTAATGAATACACTGTGTAAAATGACAACATCACAAAACCTTGTGCACAACACAATGAAGCTTGAATGAAACACAACAGAACATGATACTTTTAAATACAGTTAGTCGTTAGAAATCCTTATCATTTCAACATGATCATAATCTATTTATTCAACCACTTGATGATGCAAGCGGCTTTAGTGGGCCCCATTTGTCGTGCCTAGCTACTGCTCTTCCACAGCCCTGCCAAAGTATTCCTTCTGGAACTGCTGGAACTCCTCCTCGGTGAACACGCTCTTGGGCTCCTGCGGCTTCTGCGCTGGGGCCCCCGCTCTGCTCTTGGACTGCCTCCCGCTGTTCTGCCGGACGATCTGTGTGCGTTTGAAAACACAATGTAATATCTATGAGCAGGTTTATAGAGCAGCGTTTGGATCAACCCACTTGACCCAGACATTCCCCTACAGTGTGTGAGATACAGCAGCGGTCCTTACCTTGGCAGTGCTGTCTGATGAGGCGGAGGCGACGCTGTGCAGAAAGTACTGTAGGGTCTGTGCGCTGTGGTCCTTCGGGGCACGGCTGGCCTCCTCTGTGGACACACCCACACGCGCACACACACACACGCAACAAAAGCAATTACCCTGGGAGTCCATCAAATGAAATCTACAGCCCAGTGTCACAACAGTAATCTCAAAGGATTTTACAACACTGTTGTATAACAGAATATTCAAAAACATTGAACAAACAATTCCAGCTAGAGACTCCGGGAACCTGTAAACTAGGGCTGGGATAAACGATTATTTTTTAAACGATTAATCTAGCGATTATTTTTTCGATGCATCGATTAATCTAACGATTATTTTTTTCGCTTCGATTCGATTTCGATTCGATTCGATTCTCGATTATCTCCCCATTAATTGACTAATATTGATGTATACATGTTGATTTAAATATTTTAATGAAAAAAACATGAATTCCTTCACAAAAAATATGTATTGCTTGCTCTTAAAATTAAAAAATAAGACATTCTTAGAGGTAGCATAAAACCTTAAAGCCTTGAAAACACAGCTTACTGAAAAAAGTGCATCTTATCATTCTTGAAACAAACATTTGATGCTTAGCATTCAATAAAAATATGAAAAAGTTCAGCCAAATACTTGTGTAGAGCAACTAAAAGAAAACAGTAACCAATGTAAACTTGAAGGCTTTAAGCTAAACAAAGAGTGCTTTTCCAGCAAAAACAGTGGGAGCCATCAGCCTGTCATGGCTACATAAGAGTGTAGAGTGGCCACAGGACGCGTCATCAGCCTACGTCAGCAGCTGCGGACTGCTATGAAAACATTAGCTTTGTGGTTTCACAGGCGCAGTTGACTGCTTAAACTAAACTTTGCACGAAACTTTGACTCTTAAAACCCACATGTGACAAAACGGAACCATCAACATCTCGCCTCAAATTGCATTAAAAGTGACATTCGTGTCTGAATTCGTTCGTATTTTAACTTTTAAAGAAATTCACGGTCCGCCATCTTGGTTTGCTTCGGCTGCCGTGAGACGCGCATGCGCAGGTTTGCATTACATGATAAACAGCTGAGGCAGTGCATCTCTTCAAGACAGTGTATCTCAGCGTTACACCGGCTTGCACTTCTCTAACACGGCACTCGCATAGCTACCGCTCGCCGCCATCTTTGTTTTGTGTGTGACGCACCGACGCGCATATTATACGTCGGTGTATTTTTTGCGTCGACGCGTTGTCCCAGCCCTACTGTAAACAAATCAGACCACGGCGAGCTGTCTTCATCTTTTCAGAAAACATATAATCAGGGTCCTTGTTTGAACGTTATATGCTGTGATTTCGCTGCAGACGCTGTTATTTAACCAACATCCAGCAGATTTCCGAGGTGTTTTTCTTGAGTTAGTTTGACCATTTGATCCCTTTTTATTTTTTGAATAATCAATAATGTCATAAAGGGTCATATCAAGGACCCTTCATGCCCCTCATGATCAGACAGTAGACCTCGGTCACACAAATCTTTTCAAATCTCCCTTGTACCCCTTTTGTAAGTCACCATGGAAACAGGAGATGCCAAATTAGGCTTACGTTATGAAATAAACTTTAAACCAGATGAGTAACAAACATGAGTAACTCCAATGATCATGGTCAATGACAATAATGGCCGCTGCCCATGGCAACGCAATCTCTGCTTGTAATTCAGATGTGTAGATTACTCCACAAGTAGTCCGGCCACTTCGTCGCTACTACTGTCGTTATCGGAGCTAGCCACGCTCAATAAACGCAAATACCAATCAACACACTTAAATGTTAATCGGAGAATACATTATGCATGTACATTCTAAATACATGTGCACGGAGGTTTTCTGTTAAGGTTTTCATGACAAAAATACTGTTTTAATGCGAGAAAAAGCGATCGCGATAAACCCGGATGTACGGTGGCTGAGTGGATAGCACTCTCGCCTCTTAGCAAGAAGGTCGTGGGTTCGAATCCCGGTTGGACCAGGGCCTTTCTGAGTGGAGTTTGCATGTTCTCCCCGTGTCTGCGTAGGTTTCCTCCGGGTGCTCCGGTTTCCCCTACCACTAAAAATATGTACAATAGGTCTGGCATGTGCCTCCTGTACTGGCACCCCCACTCCCAAAAATAACAATTGTAAACCGCTTTGAGACTCCGATGTGCAGTGAAAAGGCGGTATATAAATAAAGCTTACTTACTACTTACTTACTTACTACGTTCAGGGACATTTTAGGAACATTTGCAGAGGATTAGATTATGGATTTAGGTTTATGTTTGGGTCACTCACCGCTGATGTTCAGAATTCTTTGTTCAGTTTTCATGCAGTTTGAGAGAGTTCTAGTTTAGAAGTTGCCAGCCTAACTGTTACTCGCCACGGGAAAACCTTTGGGAACTATTTTATTTGCACTCATTAAATAAACCTTTCGGCATTCATAAAAGTGGACTTAAGTTTATTTTGTGTGTTCTGTTGGTACAAAGCCGTATAATAAGCGGGATAATGTATAGTACGCAGGTCAATATCGGAAAATAAGTACCGACAGGGCGAAGCGGACCCCGACGCGCAGCGGAGGGTTGTAACAGGAGGGAGGGTGCATATATATCCCTTACATATATATGCTCGCTCCCTCCTCTTAAAGGAATAGTTCACCGTTTTTACATACTGACATATGTTCTTACCTTACCTTAGACTAGTTAATACGTACCTGTGTGATCTTAGTCCGTGCGCTCTGTTATGCAAACGGAGCAAAAACGGGAGGACAAATGCAGCCTCCTCTGGTCACTGTGTAGCACCAAAAGGTAGCTCCCGCTAGAAGCTACCAAACTCTTCCAAGTGTTCCCTATTAAATGTATATAGTTACGTGACGTGTTACACTGCAAAGTATAGTAACACAGAAATGTAACTGTCGATTTTCTCAGCGGATAAAACGGGTACTATATTGTGAGGCGTAGTAATCTGAGGTGCGCTACGTCCGCGCACTAACTTCTCTCCGGAGACTTCTCTCTCGCTCACTTCCGTCAATAGAAGCAGCGTGACTTGTAGTACGGAGAGAAGTTAGTGCGCGGACGTAGCGCACCTCAGATTACTACGCCTCACAATATAGTACCCGTTTTATCCGCTGAGAAAATCGACAGTTACATTTCTGTGTTACTATACTTTGCAGTGTAACACGTCACGTAACTATATACATTTAATAGGGAACACTTGGAAGAGTTTGGTAGCTTCTAGCGGGAGCTACCTTTTGGTGCTACACAGTATACAGAGGAGGCTGCATTTGTCCTCCCGTTTTTGCTCCGTTTGCATAACAGAGCGCACGGACTAAGATCACACAGGTACGTATTAACTAGTCTAAGGTAAGGTAAGAACATATGTCAGTATGTAAAAACGGTGAACTATTCCTTTAAAACCCTCCGCTGCTACATTTAAGACAGACTAAAAAAGGTTTACTGAGGTTTTAGGGCATACTTCATGCATAACCACCTTATCTAAATGGCTGGGGCCAAGGGGCCGACTAGAAATTCGGGTCGGAAGAAAAAGGCAATTTGTTGATTCTCATTGTCAACCCGGAAACCTTCATCACTAACTCAGAAGCGCTGTGTAATTGTTGTTTTTTCAAATGTTATTCTTGCCGTTTGTGAATTGCCAGTTTAATTGTATTATTTTTGCAGCTTTTCTCCTAGCTCTATTTTGATACATGTAGGTTAGGTTTTCCGGGGCATTTGTGGTTGGCACTGAGGGAGGCTAACAATTCTGTGTAAGCTTCTGGATCAATTGGAACCTGAAGGGGGCTCCGGCTGCACGCAGGGAGTCACTTTTATTGTTGTTTTGTTTCATCTTGAGGTTTCTTTGTTTGACCCCAGCCCAATGTGGTCCACAGTAACTCAGCTTACCCAGAACACTCCTCACGTGCCGGTCTTTGGCTGAGGCTCTGTGGCGGCCAGCAGGGGGCGCTCTGGAGGACCTCTTGGAAGAGCTGCTCTTTGTCACCTTCTGCTTTTTGCTCTTCTTCTCGTTTGCTCCCCCTGAAAAACAGCCCACATAAGAGGGGTTTTAAAGAACTACTTTGCAACCTAATCTGTGGTCTTATCATTCCAGAACACTTTCTTTTTATGTTTTATAATGTCTCAAGTAGAAAATACTCATTACGAGTCTCTAACCTTTTTCAATCTGAGAGCTACTTTTATACAACAGAACAGAGAGCTACTCCTTTTTGCAGTCGTAACAAGAATCAATGTAATAATTACTAGAAAAAACATTGAGAACACATGCAAAGGGCCATATTTATACTTACAATAGATACCTGTGTCATACTTTAAAATGTATTCATCCAAGATCATGAGTGGTGAGAGATCCTCGTCGTTCTGATTTTTTGATAACGCTAAAACATTATCATGGTTGTAGCTCATAATCTACATGAATCTCAAAACTTCTGGAGCCGTTTTAGTGGAGATAGGACAGAATTGTTCAAAGGTTCTTGGTCGGATTACAGAGACTAGAAGCTCCTGATCAGGCGAGTTCCCCAGTCTGACAAAAGGTGTTTTGACATGATACATACACCCGTCCCAAGAACCAACTGTGTTTCATTTCCTCAGTTACCTCTGATCGCATTCACACTGCAGACTGAGCTGAAAGTGGCTTTAACTGGATTTAACATGAACTGGGAGGATTAAAAAAACTATACTAGAATGCTGATCCACTTGAAAACTTTCTTGAGCTCAATTGACCTCTTTTCTGATAAAAAATCTATATTATAATTACAGTTACAGTATATGCATGGATTGAAGTTTTTTTATTTTTCACATAGTCAGACTTAAGATACTCTGAGGTTCCTGGTCTGACTGGAAAGAACCGAAAGAACACAAAAACCAAATAAACTGGAACTAAAATCACAAAATAGAAACAATACAAAGTAGCTGAAAAAGGACTAAACACATAGTAACAGGTGATAAAAAGCCTGTAGCTAGTCCTAGGCTCGAAAACAGTTTGCTTCTGGTAGTTTTCATAGGCATGTGTTTTGACCTCAGTCACATCTTCACATCAGCTTTTTCTGACAGGAAAGTGAAAAAAGCATTCTCACTCAGCCAATCAACTCTCAGCCCAAAGAGTCAAATAGTGACTCTTAAAACAAAATATACAGTTTTCGATTGAGATGAAGCGCATGGTTTGGCCGGTTTGTTCACGTTCTAACAAGAGTCTTTCTGTTGATGAGAAACTACATCTGTTACGCATGAGTCTAAGTTAGGTCCTCCAGCGTAAAACAAAGTGAATTCTTCAAACCAGGAAGTGCAAACGAACCGCAGACATCAGCGCTGAGCTCCAGACCTCTCCTGACCAGCGCCGCAGACATAGCTCCAGAAGAGCGGGACTAGGGTTTCTCATGAAGCAGTACCTGCACAGAACATGTGAGGAGGACATCCATGTGCACTCACAACATCCGCCCCAAGCATCCGCCTGCTCCCGAGGGCCGCACTGGGGCTCTGCTGCCCCCTGCTGCTACCGCACAGTCCTGCAGCCAGCCTGCGAAAACAAACCCGCTTTTTCTCTGCAATTCACATCATTATTTATTCATTTATTAGCCTTTATTTAACCACGTCCCATTCAGAATTCAGATTTATTTTCTTCATCTTCAGGGGAGTCCTGGTCCCAAAGAGAGAGGAGATATTGTACGTGTTTTTAGTGACTCTATTTTATTTTTTTTATTTTAAATGTATTCCTTAGAAGTGTTTTTTATTCTTTATTTTTTATTATGCCTTCTCTACCCTTACCTCTACTTCTGACTGTTGCACTGAGCCAAAGCAATTTCCAACTCTGTGACTTCCTGTTACTTACGTGGCAATAAAAATGATTCTGATTCTGATTCTGATTCTGATAAGGGAAACCAGAGCACACGCCTGGCTCCAGCCGAAATGTGGCCCCGCTTATTGACATATGAAGTGGGCGTGGCTAAAGATTGGCTGGAGCCAGTCTGTCAGGAGAACATGCAAAAAAAAAAACAGTCAGCTAAGGCCAGGCTACTCGTCTGGAGGTGGAGTCGAATCCAGAACCTGCTTGTTGAGATGCAAGAGGGCTCAGCCAATATAATAAACAGTCTGTCTATAGCACGGATGTATTATGTTGATATTTAGCCATAAAACATTTCCTCCCCGGAGGGTGGTTGACAAGGAAGACATTCTGATCAAACACTCATTCATCCACATGTATTATATATTAGTGTCTCTTTAAACCGAGGTGAAAGTTTGAACATCAGATAATTTCAAAGGTAAAAACAAGGGGATTCCTTTCACAAAAGTTCGTATTCAGTCATATTTGATAAGAATGTGGTTATTAAGGATTTTGTAACATCTTTATTAAATAGTCCTGCCAAAACGTGTAAATTAAATTAAATAAAGTATAGATATATAGTATATATCTTAACCTATAGATCAGGAGTTACCAGCTCGCCACTCTCTTCAGATAAGCTCTTCGTAATTTTATGAGTAAATATGAAAATTATTATGATAGATTATTGAATATGTTTAACAATACCAAAGCCAATACAAGTTAGAAATTGTCTGAACTTGCTGGCTTAACTGATTAGCGCACATTGACATTTGATTTATTTGTCATGCAAATATGACTAAAGCTGTTTGTTGTGTTAAGAATGTTAAAATGTTTTCAGATCAAGTTAAAAATTACTTAATCCATTGAAGCACAACATTTTGTTGACTGTCTTTCAAAGAAATAGCCCTCTGCCAGTGCTGTCCTTAAAAAAGTAGCTCTCCATCTATATGAGTCCGCCTTGTGGCTGCGGAAGGACACGGCAGTGCTTCGACAGTATATAAACCGTACACTGAGAATCCTCCGCAGCAGCTTTTCTATCAAAGCAGTCCCGGCTCCCGCGCTGTCTTCTTGCTCTTCTCTTTGCCACATTTGATTCCAAAATCTCTCAATAAACACTCACTATGGCGTTTTAAAGGCAGGCTCGGCGGCGGCAACATTCTGGCAAATCGGCAATCGGCATTGGCATTTTCTGGCAATATGGCGTAAGTGGATTTCTGCATGTCTCCTACGTACAACTACTGTCTTTGGTTGCATCCGAATTCACTGAATACTTCCCTTATCTTTTTAAGTGTACTTTTTAGATGGGATAACTTTTGGTTCTGTCAAAGGAAATGTATCACCTGTTTGAGAAGCTTGAATGCCCCTCAAGTTAATGTTAAAAATAATACAAATGAATGATGAATGGTGAAGGATGTATGTGTTATGAAGTTGGACTCAGCCTGTCATTCACCCCAGTTGATAATTTAGTCCTGTTTATTTGCAGTGCTGTATGCTGCCATGTTGTTGTAACTGCAGGTATAGCCATCCTAGCATTTACAGCAATCAAATAAAATCCACATTTACAAACTTGAGTTTAATTTTCAAGTAATGCATTGTTCTAAGTAAACATGACTTTACGTTTAGGCGAACTGTCATCACGTGTTATTCGTCTGCGTACTAAAAACTCAAATGCAAATGTAATGAATGATCTGATATTTGCAATAGTTTCATCAAAGGAGACTTGTAGACTGACAGCGTGGCGTGTTCAAGATGGCGTGTGTTGTAAAGCCTTCTCCAGCGTACAGGCAAAATGGCGGCCAGGCGGATCCACGGCTCAGAGTATGACCATATTAGGAACGCGTCTCCACTGCGGGGGTGTGGTTGACTAGTTTGACCAGTTTGACTCGTCCACTGTTTGTGCTCATACCTCACACAGACAGCGCTGGAATTTGTTATGGTATATGGTGTAAACATATTATTAAAACACAGGGTCACACATAGCGCGTCAAGTCCACTTCACACAAGGCACAATTAAAAACATTAAAATCACAGAAGGGGTTACAATAATAAATGGCCAGTTTATTTAAAAAATAAAGATACAATCCTTCAACCTTAAATTGACTTCCGTCATAGTAGACTCTAGTGTCACATTTTCAGTTTCGACTGATCCAGTTTTTGGCTACATAAATCTGAAACTAATGATGATAATCAATCTTAAATGTCTATCGTGTGTCTTTATATATTAACAGTTCAGGTTATAGCTTGCTTTTCATGTCATTTTAGAGCTACACAGCAGTAACTGTCAGGAGCAAGAATAAATCCTTTGTTTCTATGGATGTATATAATCAGGGCTTTGTGTTAAAATTCAAAGTCTAGTTGCCTTTTATCTTTAGCACTTACTAATTAATCTGTTAAATTCTATAAGGAGCGTTCAGTGTTATACTGTGGAAGATTGCATGGGGAGAGTACAGTTTTGTGGCTCTCCAGTCTACTCTGTTCAGATCAATGTTTTCATATTACTAGAGCTCAAATACAGCCAGTGAATGAACATGGTAATGATTCTTGAGGCCAATACGATGTTGTAAAGGGATTCATTTGTGTACATTCAAAACATTTTTGCCCTGTATAAAACATGTGGCCTCTTATCTCTTTCCTGGAACTGGTGCAGCTTTAATTTCAGAACCAGTTCTTTGTTTTCCACGAAAAAAGGGTGAGCTCTGACTGCCTCCTGTTCAGGCTATGGCCAGAAATTTTAAGACAAGTAGTTGGTATGGTAAAATACAGCAGGTCTTGACTGAAACACAAGGTTTGTTGAAAAGCCATGCTAACCTCAGGCCCAATACCCAAAGCTGTATTCAGGTACTGGGCAGTAGCTCTACTCTGGTCAAAAACTAAACAAGAAGTGACACCAGCCTATATCCAGCACCATGGTTAACCAAAGGTTAATTTTACAAGCAGAAAGTGAAGTTAATGACCTAAAAATGAATAAACAAGTAGGTAGCTTAACCTGTTTTATTCAGTGGAAGCATGGCTGAAGTTGGTTGTAATCTTCTGAAGTAAAAAAAAATAAAAATAAACTTGCGGTATTCTATAGTTATCATTTGTTTTCCAAGGTGGAGCAGCCTTGGACCTGGCGTTGACTGTGTGGCATGTGTTACAGGTGGCTGTGGGCTTTCCCCCAGAGCTTTGCTGCTTGGGACAGCACTGTGTTATTACTGAGACCGTCTGTGAAGTGGAGCAGCCATGATGCTGTCAGAGCTGGACCTGGAGGACGTGGAGGCCCTGCACTCAGGTTCATGTCTCCTCTATACATGGGATTATACCAGACCTTCACGGGTTAACACATGAAGCATGAAGTATTGGGACACCTGGGTATGCGCAAAATCTAGGGCAAGGATTCTTTTTAAGGGCAAGGATGAGAATTGGGACAGGCCCTATGTACAGCACTCTATAGCCTACTCTATATATACTCTATACCCCCTCCATAGAATAAAAGTGTTTTATTAAGCTGAAGATTTTAAGTATAACTGCATACTCAAGTGCAAGAAATGTATCCATACACTGGTTGACCAATCTGTAGTACACTCCAGTGCCACATGACTAACATCCACTAGAAGCGCTCGTCACGTCCGAGCACTTTTTTTTTTCCGTCTTCCCCGTGGTGATAAACTAGATGTTGACTAAAAACTAGAGCACCAACCTCTTCAACTTGTCGGGCTCATCACAGGAAAAACTGGTCTTGCACATAACCTGCATGAAGACGTTTACACGCTGAAGAAAACTGGTGTTGGGTCTCCTAAAGGTTAACTTTTTTTACCTGTGGGTGGACAAACGCAGCATCTCATTCAATACCTACTTGAGACAAAAATGTTACTTATGTACTTTAATTCATGTCCACCATTGGTCTCAGTAGGACATGACCAAGGAGGAATAACGTCTGAGCAAGAAGCACAATCAGTGTATACTTTGTCCACAACACTGGTCTATAGCTGAAACCTGTGTGTGTGTGTGCAGGGCCCTCGTTTCTGACGGCTGACACTTTGGGGCCCCTTCTGGAACATTGTGATGCTCTGTTTGGCCTGTCTTCTCTGGAGGAGCCGCTCTCCCCCTCTCATGCACCTCCTCCTGAAGCCAAAGCCTCAGACTTGATGCTGCCATGGCTCGGGGCCAGTGACCTGCTGGAAGTGGAGTGTCCTCAGGAGGAAGGTGAGTTCACTGTTCTTTTCTGATCTCTAAGCTTTCAGCGTTATTTATAAAATGTTCATTTGGCATCGCAACTTTTTCTTTGACATAACCGTAGCTTCTTGTACAATTTGACTATGTTCAGTCCATGCTGTTGTCAAGTCCCAGCAAAACACAGGGCTGTTGTGAACTATTTAATCCTGATGGTCACATGTAGGGCTTCTCAATGTAGCCAAAACAGTACATCACAATATGAAGAAAATGTCAGTCTTTAGATTAGCTATTTCAGACCGAAAGGGAACCACCCTCACTCTAATCTGCATTATGTAAAGAATTAAATATCTTTTATCCCTAAGACTTTCTGGTGGGACGAACAAATGTGTTTATGAGCAAAATTGGCCTTCTCTTTAATATTCCAACATTGTGTGTCGTTGAAAATGAAGTTTGATCTAGCTTCATCCATGTAAATATTGGGAATTTTCAGTCCAAACTTCTGAAACCCAACCTCATTGAATGTGTTTGTGCTTAGATGACGCTCTGCTGGCCATGGAGTGGGTGTCTGAGAAGCTGGAGTTGCCCGAACTGGACCTGGATTCCCTGCTGGACTCGTCTGATGATTGCCAAGACGCTGTGTTGACCCCAGAGCCCCATCCCGAAGCCGCTGCCGTGAAGAGCGAGCCCCTGTCCCCAAGCAGTGGCGAGAGCCCGGCGGAGAGGGGAGACAGCGACAACGACTCCGGTACAATATAACTTTAGACACCAGTCACTACTGCAAATGCAAGACGCCACTACCAGAAGTAAACAAACAGACTTCATAGTACTGGATCAAACAAACAAGTGAAACAAAGTAAAAAAAAAAAAAAATCTTAATTGTCCAAATGCTAACTAGTGCATTAGAATTGACACCTACCCTGTTTATTTGCAGCTTTAGAATTAATGTGTTTTTTGGTCATCGGCCAAAGTGAAACAAAGAATCTGTAGAGGTCTATTCATGACTGGATGATGTGTTTCAGTTCTGGACTCTGGCATCGAGTCGTCCCCTCCACACACTCCGCAGAGCTGCAGGAGCACACCCTACAGCCGGCCGCAACCTGACACAAAGCCTCCGCGGGCCCCCAGGCCCAGGATCAAGGGTGTGAAGACTGTGGAGAAGAAACTCAAGAAGATGGAGCAGAACAAGACGGCCGCCACACGCTACCGGCAGAAGAAGAGGGTGGAGCAGGTTGATCTGAACACAGAGCTCCAGCAGCTGGAGAAGAGGAACCAGGAGCTGACAGAGAAGGCCCAGGCTATCTCCCGAGAGCTTCAGTACCTCAGAGACCTGATGGAGGAGGTGCGGCGCCACCACCATAACAAGAGCAGAACAGCAGCCAAGTGAGACCACAATGTCCGGATGGGCCCGAGCCCACACTGCGCAAGCTTTCTTTACACTGGACAATGTTCTTCAGTGAGATACTTCATTGCTTCTATAGCTGTAAATGCTTTGCTCTTCTCATTCTAATAATAAATGTCTTTATTCTCCTGTTGCACTGTGTGTATGTGCTTTTAATAAGAATGACCCATTAACTGAGTTCTGTGACGTGGAGGGCCAAAGCACCAGTCTGCCAAAGAGCAGCTCTGGCCACATTGCTTTGCCACCATAGAGTCAAGGTTTCTTGGTAAATGAATGATTATCTATCATGTGACATTGGAATAGAGGGGGGAGGGTTCCTCAGTGACTTCTTTTAACAAAGTTTGAAACACATGTTAATCATTGGAATATAAACGGATCTGCCACCGTAAATCTTGCGTTTATAATCGCTGACAGTACTTGTAAGATTGAATGGAATACGACTCAGTTTATCGTTATTTGTTCAAACTGCAAGGTTTAGCCAGCGTCATGTGCCATCAACGGAAGAAGAAAAATATCTCACGCCAGACTGATGCACAGCGCTTACCACGATGTTATAGTAGATAATGCGCACTGGGAAAAACTGAACTGCAGTCCTGATAATCCCCCAAACCGTTTCCGTACGTCCAGCCCAGCAGGCGGCAGCAGCGTGCTCTTTGGCCACACATATGCCGCTTTTACGCACAGTCCAATCTTTACGCAGCGCTGTGGGCACTATCCCGGGACTCTCTGTCACACGCTGGTGCAGGTAGGAGCTGGGGACTGGGGCAAGGTCGTGGGCAAGGTCGTGGGCAGGGTGTGGGTGAGAGATTAGAACAGTTTGTCTCTGTGGAGCATGGATGTATTGTATTTTGTGGAGCCACCAACTGCGCGCAAGTCACGAGTTTACAATGAGAGAAGTTCCTGTTTCTCATCGTACCAGGTTTGTTGTTCAATAGAATGTTTGAGTTGGATCTGGACCTCTCACACTGCGCGGGAAAGATTTTTTTATTTGTTTAACAAAGTCACATATACACCAGTGGGTCAGAGTTCTGAGTGCCAATGTCAATTTTACCCATTGCCCAGTAGTCTCATCTAAGCTTTCCTTTCCACTGGTTCCCGTGTAATTATGATGCACAGCCGTTTATATATTGTTGAATTGTTAAATGTTTAATTACTACTGTAATTCATTTCTCACATCAGCCCCTCCGAACTCCAGACGCATATAACAATGTGGGTTAAGTGTCTTGCCAAAGGACTAACTTTAGAGCCGCAGCCGCTCCTCTGTGGCACATGTGAAGCGTCTCCCATTGTTGAAATCAAAAGTTGGAAAGTGATTTTGGTTTAGCATACCCTAAAACATTCATTCATTCTCATCCCTTTATTGTCCATTTCTGGGTCAGGGGGGTGGCAATCAGAGTTGCCACCCAATTCACAAAGCACCAGTCCCGGTGGTGGGTGGAAAATGGCTGTTCCTTCATCACAGATATGGCCTTGATCTTTCAGCTGGAACTTCAGGCAAAGTGGAGTTATGTGTCTTGCCCAGGGACACAACGACAGCAGTCATCAGTGGGAGCAGATTACATGGGTCATGGTGGGATCGAACCCTCCACCATTAGGGCCAAAGACCAACACTATCAACTGAGCTACTGTCGCCTCTAAAGCCCTAAACCCCTTACCCTAAAAAAAATAATGCACAATATATTTTATAGTTGCATTTTGAACATGTTTCTAAACAACTGAGGATTGACCTTTGGATATTGAAAAAGGCTTCTTGATAAAATATAATAAAAAGTCTAAATAATGGGCCATTATATCCAATTTGCTTTTTATCAAGATGAGTGACACAGGCTGGCGCTTCGCAACGACTCTCCTTTTATTTGTGTTTTTGCCGAGGTGTGTTCTATCTTCAGTGTGAACAACCTTACCAAATGCAGCAAAATATTATTATAAATAATAAAACCAACGTGTTTTCCAAGCTGCTGCTCATGTGTGGGTCAAGTGAAGAAGGGACTAAAACCACGTAATGACAGCGATACGAGCCATGGAGCTGTCATTAGGTGAATGAAGCTCTCACTGTCAGATGAGATGTCTGTACTGTTCCACATAGATTAGAAATGTCCATCCATCCATCCATTTTCTTCCCCTTAATCCATTTCTGGGTCGGGGGGTGGCAGTCAGTACACATAGCACCAGCCCCTCACTGATCCTCCTGCAGGTGGTGAGTCCACAGGAGCTGAGATCTTTCAACGGGGGCTTCAGGAAAAGTGGGGTTAAGTGTCTTGCCCAACGACACAACGACAGCAGTCATCAGTGGGAGTCGTGAAGTGGGTCTTACGGTGGGCTCGAAGCCACAACCTTCAGGTTCAAAGGCCAATGCTCAACCAACTGAGCTAATGTTGCCCCCCAGTAGCTCAAGTTGTAATGGACTTGAGATTAGAAACGTACTCAAGTCCATTACAACAGGATCCTGGGAACTTGCGTTGTGACTAGAAAACTTATTTTGAACACCACCATTTCCACTGCCCTCAGTTGATGTCAACAAAGTGTGTAAATGTAGAAGCTAACACTGACCCTGACCTCCCGCTCTGTGTGATTGCAGCATGTCTGACATGTCGGGGGCCCGTCACGTGGTGTGGAGCTCTGAGGGCTGCGTTGCCTACCTCAGCCCGCGGCCCTGGACCCCCGGCGCAGTGGTGGTGGAACCCAGTGCCAAGAGTCCTGAGGGGGGCAGTGTTTTTGACCTGGCTGAGGCAGAGCTCCGGATCTTGCTCTTGGGGGCTCGCGCTGTGTCCCGGCTCCTCTGCCAGCGGCTGGGGGTCCGCAGATGCGCACTGGTAACCCGACCTCAGCCACAGCGCCCCCCACAGGTAAGAGAGGCTTTGAAATGAGGAATAAGTGAATGTACAGTTGGTGAAAATTGTAAGGTAAATAATACACATTTTGGGGATTTTTGTTTGTTTGTTCTTTCTTTCCTTAAACTTAGCAATGTTTACTCTGGTATTTCCTGTTTGAGATCGGCTCATTAATTAATTGGAAATGTTTCTGATGTGATGATGAAGAAAAACTCCCACCGAGAGACAGAAGTGTGAATTTACATCCTGCATTGTCTGAACTGCTCTGAGGAAAACATGTTATTTTAGGCTATGGACTCATTTCATATCTTCATCAGAAAATATTGAAAATGTAATAATTATGAAAGATGTAAAAATGCTTTCTGCCTATAATTCCCTGTCTACCACAAGAAGGAGGGAAAGTATTTTGTTTCTTTTTTTTTAGAGACACTAAAAACATTTTTGCAGTTAAGGACCACATTTTTGTGCTCTTGCTCCTCAGGTGCAGGTGCTGCCGCTCCATGGGCTAGGGGCCGAGTGGCGCCCTCATCTGGCTGCAGATGAGGAGTTTAACCACATGGACCCTGGATACTGCACCTCCAAGAGTGCCCCCTGCTGGAGTGCAGAGCGTCTGGACGTGCTGCAGGCAACCATTAGGGCCGCACTGCCGGACCCTCAGGCCCCCCCAGACCACACCTTTCTAGGAGAAGACCCCGCTCACCCTGGTCTCTTCTCCAGGATCGTGCGGGGTGAGGAGCAGCAGTGGAGGGTGTGGGAGGACCCAGGACATGTGGCCTTCCTCACCCCCTTCCCTAACACCCCTGGGCTCACGGTGGTGGTCCCCCGTAGACCCCTGTCCTCAGACATCTTCAGCCTAGAGGAGCAGGACTATGTGGGGCTGGTGCAGGCGGCGCGCAGCACGGCTCTGCTGTTACGCAGTACTCTGGGGGCCTCCGCTGTGGCCATGATCTTTGAGGGCTTTGAGATCGACTACGCTCATGCCAAGCTCATGCCGCTGTTCCCACCAGGGCCATCCAGAGGGGGGCAGTGCGAGGCAAATGCTGCCCCCTTCTACAGCACCTATCCTGGCTTTGTGAGCTCCCAGGACGGTCCTGAGGCGGACGAAGACACACTTGCACAGCTGCACGCCCGCATCACAGCAGATCATGACTCTGTGGAGGCCTAGCACCAGAGAGATTGACAACATGCAATAACTGATGGATAAAACCTTCATACGTATGTTTGTGTAAGCCCTCAGTCGTACAGGGATTAGTCAAAGCAAAGGAAGGTTTCTCACCCATCATCTGTACTTCTTAGCAAGTTTTCCCGACGTTTCGTCCTCAACCTGGGGACTTCTTCAGGGAATGAATTCTCGGACCGCGCGTTGGAGATTTATAACCTGGCTAAAATTCTGGCTCGGGAGAAGAATTGGTTTGAGAGAGGGGTGAAAGAAGCCATTTTTGTGAGGAAACAGAAACCTTCTCTTAACAGAGGAGGAGGGTTAAGATTTGTTTTGCCTCGCATCTATGACGACATCCTAAAAACAAAGCCCTAATTTGGGACAAGGTCAGTGACATGCTAATGAGTTAGGAGGGGTGAGACCTGCACTCCACTTGAGCATCCCAGCAGACAATAGGTCTGTGACATGCTAAGGAGTTAGGGTCGTTAGCCTCAGCAGGGTCGTTAGACCTGCTCCCTTCTACATCAAGCAGACCTGAGATTGTTTACGAGTTAGTATCAGGGTTAGGGTGTGGCTAACCACACCCATAGGTTAGAAATCTCCAACGCGCGGTCCGAGAATTCATTCCCTGAAGAAGTCCCCAGGTTGAGGACGAAACGTCGGGAAAACTTGCTAAGAAGTACAGATGATGGGTGAGAAACCTTCCTTTGCTTCATACGTATCATTCGCACATTTTTTTTGTGCAAGATTCAAGAGATTATTATTATTGTTGTTGCATCTTTAGCTCTAAGTACTTTCAATGATACTGGTGTATAGCACTATATACAGAAATCAATGTATTGTTTACAGAGCATTTTTGTTTAATTATTTTCAGGATCTTTTTTTCAGTCAATCAGCCACAATCAATATCAATGCATATGTCCATGTGCCTGTATGTGTGTTTATCTGTGTTTTTACTCATTATATGGAGACTTTTGGATTTTGATTGTTTAGCCTGATAGAAAATACACAAACCCGGGATTAATTGTTTTTAGTCATGACATTGAGTGGACATTTCCACAGGTTTCACACTGGGGTTCAACATGTGGTAATGTCCATCCATCCATCCATTTTCTTCCGCTTAATCCATTTCTGGGTTTGGGAGGTGGCAGTCAGAGATGCCACCCAAGTCACAGAGCACCAGCCCCTCACTGTCCACAGAGCACCAGCCCCTCACTGTCCACAGAGCACCAGCCCCTCACTGTCCACAGGAGCCCTGGTTGTATAATTTTGTACAAAATATTACTTCCTACTTTTATCACTTGGGGAAGTGCTCCACCAGCAGGAGGCCCCTGGCAACGGATACATTGGAGGAGAATATATCCAAAGAAGAAATGGATGGTTGGTTAGAGCAAAATAAATGATGTGGCTTTCCTGATAAATATAACTTAAAATGAGGTTTATCATGCCATGGTAGCACATTGTAAGTGCATTTCTTTATGATTAGGCATTGACTCCCATTATTTTAACTTTCCAAAATCACCCGTCAGCGGGCCAATATCTATGGTATGGCCAATTGTATGATTTCTAGTGTGATGTCACCACTGGTTTTCTTCCATAAGAACATCATTCCATCAAAATAAAGCAACAAGAAAAAATACTCAAAAAATTGTATGTGTTTTGTTTACTATACAGTTTATTGAAATAGTATAAGCACAACAAATGCATATGGGAGAATATGTAAATATATTGAAGAGATCAATACAAAGAAGAATTAAGTCACTTTTTGTTTGGAATCCAGCGTTCTTCAAAAGTAATTAGGAGTAATGTAAAGTAATGCTTTGTTGGCAGAGGTCAAATGTTTCCTGTAGGTCTTCACTGGGTATGAACTCACTGTATTTTGGCCTATTCTTCCCTGCAGATCTCTCGAGCAGTGATGTTTTGAGGCTGTCGCTGACATTCACCTCCCTTCACAATTGTTCTATTGGGTAGAGGTCTGGAGACTGGCCACTTTATAACATTTCAACCTTGAAATGTTATGGGGCCACTCCTTTGTTGCCTGGGCTGTGTGTTTAGGATCATTGTCCTGATTGGCAACATGCAGAAGCTTGTCTTTTTGGACCACCCCCTGGGGGCGCTCCAGAGCCCATGGATGCAGGACAAAAAGGTTGTGAAAAACCTTAAAGGTCCCAAATTACGCTTTTTGATCTATCTCTGGTTTAAACATGATTACAGTGCTATTTGGCCTCATACACATGCCCAGAGTCGTTTTTTTCATTGATTCCCTCAAGCTTTAGTTAGAGAACGATCTTTCTCTTTTATTCTCGAGAGGCACAGAAACGAGCTGTTTCAAAGTGTGACGTGCACCAATCTATGACGTCAAAAGCCCGCCTCCAAGAGGTGATTGACAGCAGGGAGAAATGGTGGTCAGCACCAGTGGGGGCGGGTTCCGGCTCAAAAGTGGCCCAAATGACGTGCGCTGACATGCTTGCAATACCACCCCGGGCCGATGGGGGTGGACCCAGAAGAAGAATTATTCAATTCTAACACATAGCATTAGCAGACCTTTCAAAAACGTCTTTACAGGATGGACCAAAAGTTGGCTCTTGGCCCAAAGCTCCGTTCCACATGTGTGTCAATGCTGAGGGGGGTGAATTTTTTTGCACCAGTCTAGTTTAGTCGCTGTGAAATTTTGAAGGCACTTGTTAAATGAATGGGGCTCGTGCCGGCTGACGCATGTGCAGATGCGTTTTTTCACGTTTTCCAGCCCCGGCGGCCATTTTGAAACTGCCCATAGACCGCGTAAGTTGTGGCACATTAGTTAGAACAGCAGAGTGTGACTACGTCCGTTAATATTTTCTGAGTCCAGCCTGTAGTCCATAGACTGTATATAAGCATATGTGCTTATCTTAGCTTCATGTCAACTCCTAGAAAATGTGTTTTTAGTGTAAATAAGTGACGAGAGTATTTGGCCCGAAGACGGAGAATGGGCATCGACTTTGTTCACGGGGATCTGCTTCATATCCGCACGTTAGGGAACCATGAGCAATTTGGGTAATGCCATCGTCAAGGATTCACTTTAATAACTCAACACTAAACACTTTACCAGGGGGAGTACACTTTCGGTCAGGGTTTTTTTTTTCCATTCAATCCAACACATTGTAACATGCACTAATGGGTGGCACGGTGGCTAGCACTCTCGGTCCTGGGTTCAAATCCTGGTTGGAAGTTGGAACAGGGCCTTTCTGAGTGAAGTTTGTATGTTCTCCCCGAGTCTGCTCTGGTTTCCCCTACCACTAAATACATGCACAATAGGTATGAATCTAATGACAGAATGAATGGATGGTGTTCGGTCGGAGGCCAGTGTGTTCGGCGCAGTGTGTCCATCATCAACGAGTGTGGAGAGAGTGGAAAAATATCTGAACTCTGAACAATTGTAAAGCGATTTGGGTGACCTTGTTCTGTAAAACGTGCTATATAAATAAACATTGCTTACTGAATAAAATATGAATTCAAATTTTCTTGCTTTACTTATAATAATAATTAAAAAAATGTATATATGTTATTAGGTTCAAATCTATAGGATGCATTTGAAGGATCATAACGGTTGTTTATAAAAATCACAAACTTTTCATGGGACATGGGCCGACAGTAAGGGTATATATTTCACACAATTATTTACAGAAGGTACATGAGTCATTTGTTCATATATAGGGAGTGGGTGTATCTTGTCATTCCAGAACAGTTGTACATTTTTTAAGATTGTGTTTATTTGCTTATTTTCATTTATGGGGACACAATAAACATGTGAAACCATCCCTAAAACGTCAAATAAAAGAGCTATCAATAGTCATTTTCATATTATCACTTTTCTATCTATTCTTAAGAATAAACTACTAACACAATTCTAAAGAAAGTAATTTGGCTGGACAAATTCCAAAACTAATTTGATATTTTGTTTTGTTCTGCAGAAAATATGTACAATGGCGTCCAAGCATTTAAACACAAGGGACGGTGGGACGTGTTTGTGCCTGTAGTTCCTGATACAGTAGTAGGGTGGATGGAGCCTCAGGTCTTGTGCTCAGGCTCCACTTCTCCATCCTTGTTCCGGGGCTCTCCTCGTCCGCAGCAGCCTCCTCCGCAGCCCTCCATCTTGGTGATGTAGACAAGGGGCTCGATGCTGCTGCTCAGGTCCATGAGCAGGTAGACCGCCAGCAGGATCCTACAGCGGTAGTCTGCAAAGCTGTAGCGTGCAGAGAAGGGCAAGATGGCCACGGGGGGAAGGTAGTTGACCACGATGATGGCCAGGATGATGAGCACCATGCGGAAGGCCCGCTTCTTCACCGGGTGCATCTCCTCCTGTAGGACAGCGCCACCATGTGGACAGTGTTCAGAGCCAAGATGACATACAGTACCTATGTCTTATGGTTAGGCTACTTATTTCAGTAGTGCCAAAAGTACATCTTTCAGGTAGGCTTAAGTAGAGATATTTACATAAAGCCTACTCTGGTGAGTATTACAGTGTGGACTGTATATAGCTGGACAATGGCCCAATTAATGGATAAAGTTTTGCTTGAAATTGCTGTGGCTCCCATTGAGACACATATTATGTGTCACACTCACAATGTTTCTCTATGACCTGCTGTTTCTATTATGACATTGTATTTTTAAATCCAGATATAGCCTTAGCCACCCTCTGCAGGATATATCTGCCCCTGTTACAGCGTCCGAACAAATGTCCATATATGTAAGAAAGTCGGCTCCAGCTACCTTATATTCAAATCAGGTTCTTCTGCATTTGGCAAACACTATGGTGACACACTTGGCCAGCCCACTCCTTAAATACAGTATAAATTAATTCCAAAAGTACAAGCATTTATGAACTTCTAAATGTGCTTCTTTCACCTCTGCAACATCTGCCGCCTTGGCCCATCCCTCACTCCACAGTCCTGTGCAGTCCTAGTTACTTGTTACACCCTGACTAGATTACGGCAATTTTTGGTCTCCCTGAAAAAACTCTCCACAAACTGGTCCAAAACTGTCCAGCACGCCTCATCACACACACTCCCTCCATAAACCACTTCACCCCTTTCCTAGAAGAGCTCCACTGGCAGTACAAAATCCTGCTTCTCACTTTTAGAGCCCTTCACAACTTTCCCGCTACATATCTCACTGAGCTCCTCCACATCAGCACACCTGCCCACTCCCTCTGCTTCTCCTCCTTCCTCCAGCTCCTGGAGGGCATTGAGCCGCTCTGCTCCCCAGCTCTGGATTACCTTTCCCCCTGACCTCCGCAACACTCCCACACTTCAACACCCCACTCAAAACACTTATCTATTCAGACTGACGTATTCACTGTGACCCTAATCAACTGTCCATTTTTCCTTTCAAAATTTATTTTTTACCTTGAGTGCCCAGAAAGCCACAACATAGATAACATCTATATTATTATTATTATTATAAAAAAGTAAAATGTACAATTTATTGACAATATATAATACCATCGTCAAAGAGTTTTATACTGGGAGAGACGTTATCTTGACATGCAAGCATAGTAGTACAGATATTAGGGTTTAAATGTGAAGCATTAAAGTAACATTTAATCATGTTTGTACAGTGTCTTTGGGTGTTTTGAAAGTAGCTTTTTAAATAAAATGTATTATTATTACTATGTCTGAAAGAGATGTAGTAAAAGTAATGATACCAGGAAACAATACGTGAGTAAAAATACTAGCACGACACCTTTGACAAAAACACAGATAAGTTGTTTGTAACATGTTTGTAAGAGTTGTGCAGTAATGATAAATGTATTCAAAACAAGTCTAAGAGGCTTTAAACAGCCAATATGATTCGTTCAATTTCTTAAACATGATCATGAGATTACAGCATTTAGTGTTTTAAAGTTGATGGTCCAGACTTTGTTGTTTGTCCCAACAGAAAGACTGAAAGAGTCTTACTGGCATTGGAATGTAATTTAAGTTATCATTTTGGTAAATCATATGTGGCTAGATTATATGCTGAATGCTAAAATGGCTTTGGCGCCAGGAAGTCTGGGGGAGCCAACATGGAGGGGAGCCCAACTCGAAGCAGGCTTTAAAGGAGCTATACCCGTTTCTGCAAGGTCTTTCTCAGTTTGAATGTTTAGCTCCGCCCCCAACAATCACTGATGAAATGGTACAAAAGCAACGCACTGCTAACACAATATATCACTGAAAGATTACCGCTAGTTTCGTGTCCAAATGTAGTCCAAGGATACGATGTAAGCTAGCTATGTTCACCCGTGCTTGATTTCTTCTTTGATCATTTTTTCGATTTAGTTCCCTCTTCTCTTCCTCACTGTTGCATCGTTCGGGCTGTTTTGCTGTGTCTGCAGTTACAGCCAGAGGAGGTATATAGCCACTTTCTGCCTCCATTCTGCTCTTGTTTAGCAGCGCTGTAGAAGCTAGAGGACCTTCTGTGATTGGAGGAGAGCGGGCGTCACACTAAGTCTCTACTCAGCACTTTTTACGGTCTGAATTCATACACAAGTTGAATAAATGAGCTCAAGTTGTCGCATTATTATAATACAACTTGTATGTAGTAATAAGCATTTTTATGAACTCATTAAAAAAAATGGGGTATAGCTTCTTTAAGGATGCTAATGAGAATGGTCTTGTCATTGTTCCTTGCTCTCTTCCTTCTTCCTTTCCTATCTGCATTTGATGGTGTGTATTGTACTATTAAAGGAGCTACAGACTGTTTGAGTTTCCGATCTTCCTTGAGAGAGGATGGGCTCGGAGCTCTGTCTCTGTCAAGACATTTTCTCCTTGTACCGGGTAACAAGTAAAAGATTCACTATATCTGTTTGTTGTGTGAGATTTTGTCAGGTTGAACTGTGGTAAATATCAGCATAAACAGTTACTGAGAGAGTGTTACAAGCCGAATGTACAGAAACATATCAGCTGATTTATGTCAGACAATCCTGATATTTGTGGGGATGGAGCTAAAACGGCGCCAGGTCACAATGTTCCATAGTTATTAGCAAGTTCATTTTCAAAGATCATTTTGCAGAATAAGTGTAAAAAGGGTGTTTTGTAGTTACCTTCCCGGCGACTGAGCGCCGCAGCACGCAGAGGATGGAGATGTTGGAAAAGAGCATGATGCAGAAGGCCAGCAGGATGATGGCGCTGAAGAGCTCGTACTGCACCTGTATGGTCTGCACCAGACTCTTGGCCACGCCGTAGCCCAGCACCAGCCCCCACACCACCACACACACCCCCACACGCAGACGGTTGTCTCGCACACGACTGAAGATGACCGGGTGCACCACGGCCATGTAGCGGTCCAGGCAAATGCACATCTAACAACAACAAGCCACATGGGCACGTAAAGCTGGGGTACGTAAACCTTTGTTGACAAACTGTCTTCTTCTTATCCTGCATTTTTTCATTTTGTTTCATTTTTACCTTGTTTTATTTATGTACTGGTCTGGTGCACACTGGGGGCTTTTGCCAATGTATTCCATGTGGTTTTACTGCAAATGGCAAAATCCTTGAATCTGAATCTGACCCTGAATCTATGAGTCACTATTGGACTATTTGGTTGAGAGCCGATGGGCTGAGTAGTGCTCTTTTTCACTTGTCTGAAATCTCAATCAAACATGCTGTGGGGTTACTTTTTCTCAACAAGGAAAAGGATGGGAAGGTGGATGGTGAAAAATACAGAGGTAGCTAAGACTAGAAGATTGGGTCATGATCATGAGGTTCAACAAATATACTCATACTCCACACCCTTGGACTCTCAATTTAACATCTAATAATCTCACTTTGTTTATAGTGTAAGTTTCACCCTTGTCCAATTGAGTATGTTTGTCTGTTGTTATTATTAGCATATTTTTATTTTATGGCGCATTCAGACCGCCGACGCTGGAACGCTGACGCCTCGCGCACCAGACGCACTTTCTTTCAATTTCAGACGCAGGGGTGTTCAGACCAGAAGTCCTGGCCCGCGGTGGCGCCTGCCAGAAGTGGCGGAAGTAGCGGGCGAACTTTGATGCTAACAGGGTTAAGCTAGCTGCTTTTTGTGTCAATTTCTTCTCCAATAATGCAGCTCTGCAGCGTCTCTGTGTACAGAGCCTCCCAGAGACTTTATATAACAGCAGTATGTGTTCACGGAGGTGCGTCATAAGTTTACTTTATTTTCAAACAGTACTTCCGCTTTGGGCATCGTCTAGTCCTCCCAGTTCTGCGCAGTTGATGAGCTCTCATGATGTGTCGCGCCAAAAACCAGTATGTGGCTTTCATGCACGCGCACAGAGGGGCTCGGCCGCGCTCTGACCAATCAGAGCTGCTCATCAGAGCAGCAGAAGAGCGGAGCCAGAGCGGGAAGGCAAGAAGCAGAGTTTGTGTCAGTGAAGTGTGGATTTAAAGAAAACCGAAGGATTTAAGAAGAAAAAAACATAAGGATGACAAGGGACACTAAAATCCCCACAAAATCCAATCTTTATGAAAGCTGTAGGTTCTGTGTCAGCTGAAGCCGTGCTGTTTTAGTTTACATTGTGATCTATGGGACTTTTTTCTGGGTAGCCCACGTGAATTTAGTCTGCAGTAGCACAGCGCCCCCTGTGCCCATGGGTGGGACAGCTTTAAGCTAAAATACACTATCCAGTTATTATTATAGATCCATGGCCACACAGCTGTCTGCTGTTGTGACACTAAGGTAAATTAAAAATGTGGGTATCGGGTCCTGTGAGTATGAGTACAAGCCTATGGTATTGACCTGATACCAGTATCGGTATCGGTGCATCCCTAAAAACAAACATAAAAACTTTATTCTGTTCTCTTTAGTGAGACACAGTATTCCAAAAGTAATGTAAAATAGTTACTTTCTTGGGGTAATATAACTAAAGAAGTAACTAGTAACCTGTGACCGGTTAGGTTAAGTAACTTCCCTGAATATGTGAGAGCGAGTATAGTGTTGCTCACCAGGAACAGCGGAGCCGAGTCTTTGACGCCGTAGGAGAAGCGCAGGAAGTACCAGATGTGGCCACTTCCTATCACCAGGCGGTTCACCAGGTCGATGGGCGTCATGAGGCAGAAGTACGTGTCCAGGATGGCCAGGTTCAGGATGAAGACGTCGGAGGTGGAGGAGTCACTCTTGCGGGACACGATGTGCCACACCACCAGCACGTTACACGGCGTTCCCACCACCAGGTTCAGCACTTTGGCACCGTAGTAGAAGACGAAGGCGTATGGACTCGCCGCGCACACCGGGTATAGGTACCACAGCAGGCCAGAGGAGGAGGCGTTTAGAGGGGCCGCGGGGGAGGCAGACGAGTTCATCCCTGCACAAGAGACAGAGAGAGAGAGAGTGTT